CGCGGGGGTGCTGGGACCGGGTTCCGGGGGGACCGGCACAGATGTATGGTGGGACAGGGACATGAGGAACCAGGATAGACATGGGGCAGGGACTTGCTGGGTGACCGGGATGGGGGACGGAATAGGGGCCATGGATGAGTTGGAATGGGACATGGGGAAATGGGTTTAGGAAGTGGGGCAAGCAACATGTACATAGGGAAGCTGGGGCCAGGACATATGCATGGAGGAACTTCTCCCCAGTATCCCATCTAACCCTGGTCTCAAGAAAGATGAGGACCAGCACCAGAACATGCAGGACCAGGACATGGACATGGGAAACCAGGACACAGACACAGGGGCCACTGGGACTGGGAGAGGTTGGGAGGAAGAGGGACAAAAGGGGACCGGGAAGTGAGGGGATCGGGATACAGGAGACCACGATAGTGACATGGAGATACTGTGACCAAGATGTGGGGGTCCAAGACACAGACATGAGTGACTGGGACTTGGATGCAAGAGAACTGAGCCTGAAACAGGTCACTGGGACCAGGACAGGTGCATGCAGGGACACAGGGGACCAGGACCAGCAAAGGGACACAGCCAGACCAGAACACAGGGGCAGGTGCATGGGGAGATGGGGATGGGGACTCAGGAGGTCTGGATTAGCACGTGGAGAACCAGGATACAGGGCATCAGGACAGGGAATGAGGAACTGGGACAGGGACACAGAGACACAAAGGCACAGAGGCACTGGTCCCTCCAGTACAGGGACATGGAGTAACCAGGACACAGAGGACCAGGACAGAAACATGGTTCTGAGACAGGGACACAGGAGACCAGGACCAAGAGCACAGGATGAGGAGCAGGAAACTGGGACCAGGACAGAAACACAGGAGATAAGGGCCAGGACAGGGACACTGGGACCATGCCATGGGGGACAGGGACATGGATACAGGGGACAATGGCAGGGACATGGAGAACTGGGACAGGAACATGAGGGATATGGGGGCATCCTAAGGCATCACTAGGCCTGGGAAGATACATGGAGGGACTGGGACCAAGATGTGGGAAAAACCAGGACCAGGACACTGAGACTACTACAGGTGCATGGAGGGGACTGGGCAGGAGCAGTGGGGCAGGGACACAGAGGGAACACAGAGTCAGGGCAAAGGGATACGAACATGGGATATTGGGACAGGTGACAGGGATGTGGGAGGACCAGGACAGGGACATAGGAGACAGGGAAAGTAATAGGGGCACCTATACCAGGACAGAAGGGTACCAGGATCAGGACAAGGATATGGGTGACTGGGATTAGGACAGGGACAAAAGGCACAGGGTACTGGGACCTGGACGGGGATAGGAAGGGGCTGGGAACAGGACAAAGATGTGGTGGGACTGGGACAGTGACATGGGGCAGGACCAAGACAGAGACAAAGAACATTCCAGTACTGGGACCAGAACAGGGACATGGGGGTTAGTGGGGTGAGAACTGGGACGTGGTGGTACCAAACAAGGACGTAGAGGCACCATGTTCAGGACAGGGATATGTGTGGACTGGGGCAGAGACGGGGGGGTACCAGGACCATACAGGCACATGGGGGCACCACATTCAGGACAGGGGTATGGGGGTACTGGGGACAGGAGAGGGACAAGGGACTGAACTATCATGAGGGACACGGAACTATGGAGATAGGTATAGATGGAACTGGGGCTGGGTGCAGGAGAGGGGATGTATGAGCACAGGGATGGAGACAACAGGGTCTGCCACTGGTCCGTGGGACACCGGGAACACGGGAGATCCCTGCAGCTGCCCTGTGCTCGCCCTCGGTCCCACAGGTGTAAAGGAGGAGCCGGTAAAGGAGGAGCCTTTGGAGGTGAAGACT